GGCCTAAATTGGTAAGAGATTTATGATTTTATGTCTACCCCACCAAAAACCTCCTCCATTCCCGGCTAGCCTCGACGTTGCCCCAGAATGCTACAAACAAAAATTCCATAACGTAAAAGACGAACCAACCTCCTCCACCGCCGGCGCGCAGATGTTGAAAGTGGCCGTCCTCCAGTGCCACTGATACCAATAATGGAATACACTGTATACCATATTCGAACTAATCAGTGACCTTCTTCAACTCACATAACGTCACGAATGGCATAAATTCATTTGTGATTGACATACACTCATTTCGGCTGTTCATGCTAGGATTTCTTGCGAAAGTATCGTATTCGTATGCCAGTATTACGCATGTGATCTCGAAGTCCTTACCACCGTGGACTTCAACTTTATGTTTACCGAGAGGAGTGGTAAGGCTTCCTCGCCTTTTGCTGGCAAGATGTTCTTTCATACTTACTCCCAACGGTCTCCCAGTCTCTCCGATATAAGTGGCGCTGCACTCGATACGTTCGATCTGATAGATTACACCTGTCTTACCGCAGTCACCAACTTTACCGGATAGACAAACTACGCAGTCTTGGATTCTGCAGTAGTTGTCGTACAGCCTGTTACGTACTAACCGCTTCCTAATGTTATCACTTGGAACGTCAATCAAAATGACATTGTTTTCGAGGTTCGCGTGTTTAATGCATCGTCGCACAATAGCACTAACCGCGTCAGAGACGAAAGGAGGACAGAGAGGTATTTTCTGTCGGTGCTGGTTGCTGTTGATGGTAATAGATGGTCCATCACGTCCTTTTCGGAACGTGTAGCCATTCATTCGAGCAATATCCAGTGCCCATCTTTGCGACTCCTTCCGTTCTTCTTCTCCTGTGCATACCTTCGTTGCTGTTTTGGCCATGTTACGAATAACAGCTCTTTTAACAGTGATCGGATGTGCGGAGCGAACATTAACCAAGATGTTCTTGGAACTCTCTTTGCGATACCATTTCTCATTCGCAGCGCCGTTAAACAGTCGGATTTGTACGTTGAGATAAGGAAGCCAACCATTTTTCGGTTGCTGCCGTGTAAACTTTATGTACTGTGACTGTTGGTTGAGTAATCGGAAACACTCATCCATTTCGGATTGTGTTGATGTTATAATGCAACAGTCGTCTATGTAACGACAGTACATTAGAGGTAAACTCGAAGCACTGGTTCTTCTATTTTACTTATAAAGCAGATCGCAAGTACTGGAGCAAGTCTTTGTCCCATCGCAAGACCTCTCAGCTGAGTATAGTATGTCCCTGACCGTTTGAAGAAGTTACAAGAGAGACACTCTTTGATCAGGAGCATAACCGATCGTTTACTCAGGCCAAGTCTGGATCTTCTCACCGAAGTTACTCAACATTTCCGAAACTGCCTGTAGAGCGTCGTCGTTTTGAACGTTAGTGTGCAATGACACTACGACAAAAGATTCAGCTACACATTGCGTTTGCAAATTGGTGTTACGCAGGCGTTCCAGGAAATATAGCGTGTTGGCTAGATGAGACGGGACTTTGTCCAGTAGCTGATTGACAATCTTATTCAAGAACCAGGAAATTCGGTCGGTTGGTCCTCCCACGCATCTTATAATCAATGTAAAAATTGTTGTCAGCACATTGAGTGATCCGTTTGAGCGGAAATTTGGAGATTTACGTCATACATGCAGTCAAAACTGTTATGACTTTGGAATGTGAAAATTCTCGGCGATGTCGGCGATGTCGGCGATTTTGCGTTTATCGCCAACTTTGGCGAATTCGCCGACATCGCCGATATCGCCGAGAATTTTCACATTCCACTGTCACACCGTAGATTCTGACAAAGACCGGTTGTTTTTTGATGTTTTTCCCTGGTGTAATCAAAAGTATGAAATCGTTTGACAACTATGCAAAAGCATTGTCTGTTTGCATTAATGACCAGGGTCAAGCGTGTGGTGTGGCATGCCATACCTGGGGGGGGGGGGTCGTATTGAGGAGTCAGAGAGGGGGAGGGGTCGTTGTCAAGGCGTCCGCTTTCGCATAACATGATATCTGTTAACCATGTCAAATAGGCCCGTCATGCAAAATTGCCTAGCAACTAGCACATTGATGTTTGACCCATAGTCGTATACGTACAGTAAGCATAATTAAAGATCTATAAAGCATAAGAGCATCGTTTTGTAATTAGCAAGTAAAATAATCCCTGTAGTCCAAATCTCAGCGAAAACTGCGGTTTCCAAATACAGGACCACCTAAGTGAGATGGTCGTTTTCAAACATGTTACTTTGTGTCAAAGGTAAGTTAATTAGTTCTTCTTGCGCTTAAAGGCAGTGTCTCACCAAAGTTGAGGTCGCGCGGATTTTCACATATTCTACTATAGGGACCTCTAAATAAGCCATTGCAACAAATCTCACTCAATTTGACCCCCTCCACGCTGAGAAAAATTCGCTCAAAGTGGTACGCGATTTGGTACGCGCGGACGACTGCTTCGGTCTCCCCCCTTACGCGTTTGAACACGTCCCTCCACTTGGCATTCACCCCCCTTGTGTTGCTGCCACTGTGGCTGAGGCTGAAGTTGGAAGGCACAACTCGTCCACGTTGCTTCCGCGGGGCCTCCAGAAAACGGGGTTTTTGGAAACTACGTGCGATTTCAAGCCCATACAGTGCTAGACAGGGTCCGACGGGTTTTCAAAATGCAAAAATCTCGGCAACTAAATTTTGGTGAGACACTGCCTTTAAACAAAGAACTACTATTTTTTTTGCTCCTTAGGAATCCTACTTCAAATGACCTCCAAATTAAAGAATTCATGCAAAATATCGTTTGTTCCATTTTTCGTTTTCAATATCTTAGGCTAGATAAGACCAATCAGGCTCAAATCACTCTAATGTAGATTACGAGCCTTAAGCTATCGAATATATACATTCTTGTTGCCTCCCCTTGCGATTCACATAGAGCGCAGACTTGGCATGTTACCGTATCCCAAAATTTTCGCAGTATTTTACCAGTACACATTTGGATAAATAAGGAAAAACGAACATCTTGCTCCTAAGGAAACGTTTTCATATGATATTTCTGCTATGTAAGGAAGAAGGTTAAGCAGTAACAGCGATATAAAAACGCAGCTATTTGATCTGTTTGCAAGTAAGTTAATGGGGTGTGGCACCACCCCCAAAAAGCTGTGGCAGCCAGCTTTTTAGGGGTGGTGCCACACCCCATTAACTATATAAAAAAAACTTTTTAGCGAACGTCATCTATATGATTCGATAGCCTCTGCCTCGTAGATTTCATAGGAGTGATCTGAGCCTGATTCGTCTTCTTAGCTCTGAGTAATATTTGGTGGAAACACGGCCATTAAAAGCGAAAAATGGGAAAAATAAGATTTTGGTTGGCTTCTAATTCCAAAGTTAGGAGGTCTTTTGAAGCGAAATTTCTGAAGTGGCCGACGAAGGAGTAGGAGGTGCCCTATCTGCCCCCCCCCCCAACAAAGGCAGGGACCGTAATCAGGCTGTTCGTGTCGGGACCCGATCGCGATTTCCTCACCGTCCTTTAAATCGATTGAGCGCTGCTGACGGCGATCATCATCTCGCGTTTTGAGCAATCTAATCTAATGGAAATAGTGAGTAAACCGTGGTTGAGACTACTCCGATGAACTCCTATTTGAGGCCCGAGGAGTCATTCTCGAGAAACAATCGGACAAAAGCATGAATTCCATTGTTTATTAGAATTGCAGCATCATAGAATGAAAACATCAACGGTGTAAGCAAACACAACAACAACAACATCACCATACAATGATAAATCGTTATGATTGACCCACAAAGGCCTAAAAACACCAATTTTGCAAAAAATCTACAAAAAGAACAGGTCAGACCAGAACAACGGAAAGAACATCGTATCGTGCATCAAGATCACTGCAAATAAGCAGGGCACTCCTCTCAGTGAAGGCTACTGAAGCATACGGGCTGTTCAGGCGCATGTTCCAAATTAGCAAAGGCAAACTGTAACATGTATTACCTGTATTACAATAAAAAAGAAGGCTGCTCTCAAACCAACCTTAAGCAGACGGTCTTGCCTATCCAGCATTTGTCAACGGCAAAATTTGTTCAATAGTTGGGATGCGGACGATAAATGGTGGAGGAAGAAAAAAGTGATTGCCTAGAAAATTGAGATGATATCAATTGAGTTAGTATAGACTGATAGGAAGCATAAGATGAAAACATACATTTAGAACAAGAATGCGGTTAAGTCTCAGAAGGACTTTCGTGGCAAAGAGTTGCCCAAATACAACGATCAAATATTGAAAGGAAGCAACACTGATAGATCATGAGTGAAGCATAGCATCCCCTGAATATTCAGTTTAGCCTGAAACAGAACCCAATCAAGATCAACTCAAATTTACCTATCAAACATGAACTAAAACAAAATGACAACAATAGCAGGAAAATTTACCTATCATGAACTAAGACAGGATGACAACAGTAGCAGAAAACAAAGCCGAAAACGCAGGTGTAAACCGAGAATGCAGGTACATCAAGAAGCATGTCATCGGTGTTACAAAGCACTCACTTCTTAATGGATTTTTGGACGTTTTCAAATGTTCGACGTCTGCAATCTCGTCCCTTTTTTGGCCGAGTTCGAACTGCTAGATATGGAAATCGCAAACCACGCTGTGTGTAAATGAATGAAGACATAGTTTCATAAGCAAAAATTGCTTCGTAGTTGTTCTCGCTGTTTCTCCTTGAATTTACTATAAACTTCAACAACAGTAACGGCAGCGCTGAAAATATTCTTGAGAATCTTGGCAAGTCGATGGTAATGAGAACTAAAACTTGCCAGTGTCAAGGTGGGTCACGCTGGTTTGAAGGAATCGAAAAAAGGGACTGTTTTTTCGATTCACAAATGTATGAGATACAAAGTTCAAAGGCAGAAAAGAAGTTGATGTGGTCTATAAACAGATAAGTGAGACGGAATAGCCTGAAAGAGGCAGAAAGTCTACCTTAATTCGGCAAAGTCCAATCAAGCGAAAATGTTTCTTTGATTTCGCAGTATTGCTGTTCTCTGAAAGCAAGGCTATATGGCAAACACTCGCAGAAAGGCTCACTCACGGTTTCGAATTGTATGGGCTTGGGTCTGGGCCCAATCCCGTGGTCTGCATTTCTTGCCGTCTTGAAAAAAAACCAATGTTCGAAGGCACAAGATTGATGATTTTCTGAAGCGCATTTGCACACTCTTCCAACACTTCGTACTGTCCTTCTCTACGACAGCATCGCATCAACTCCGAAAGATGGGAAATTCTCTAAATTACGCTCAAAGTGCAAACTATAATCAGCGGCAAATCATACCCCCTCAACGAGCTGATACGCCTGCTTTGTTTTATCTTCTTCTAATATGTCTCTTGGTTCCTCATTTTCATTAGCTCCTTTGTCCGCAATGTCTATGCTTTCTGAAGGCATGGTTCCGGTGCCTTGCGACCCTGCTTCGCAATTGCCATCATTTTCACTCTCACGCAACAGCGGTGTTTCGCTGGATGCCAGGTAATGTCGAACAGGTCGGAGAAGCGCGGACGCTAGATTTAAGTATCAATCTCAAAGAATGAACAGGATATTACTACCTTCTTCGACGAAAGTTGCTACAGCATGTAAGTGCACGCAGGAAACGCCGGCTTTGCAGGCTTCGGAGCAAGGACATTGAAATTGGTATGAGCAGACCCCACATCTTTCGCAGTGGGAGTTTACCTGTAAGAAGAAATGTTTTTCATAGAAATCAGTTTGTGAAGAGAAAACAAACGTCCGCATCACAATCACAGGCGTCAGATACTGTGAAGATATATATATTTTGTTCATTCGGGGTTGTGGAGTAAATTTCCAACTACGTTCATCCACCTTCACAATAGCACCCTGGAATTGCTCTTAAGGTCAAAGTGGATGTAGTAGACAAAAACCAGTACTGGGATTTTCGCAAAGCTTAGTGCTTCCCTATGTCGTGATAAATTGAGCTTAAACGTCCATAGACGCGTACTCGCTGCAATTTGTACATTCGATAACACATAACGGGCGGCAGCAATAAGCTCACCGAAGTGACAAGCTGGAGATCAGCATTTTCGGAGTGTCTTAGCAAGATATACAAAACAGTATCAAGTCGCGCGTTTTGCTTGCTCTTGAGGAACACGTGTTTTAATTTATTATGCCAAGCCTCGGCATGGTTCGAAGTGGTAAAGATGCCTTTGCGCCTGTAGCATAATGCCCATTCCTTAAAATGAGTGGCGTAGTTGCGATTTATGTACTAAAACGACTTCTCTAAAGGAATGCTATAAGACTTGAGGGGTAGCGTACATTTATCATATCCTGGGCATCGATGGACGCAAGAAAAGACATATAAGCGTAGGAGTAGCTCTCGAACTTTGCTTTGTCTAACATTGTCAGCATTGTAGGAGACCATCAAAGAGGCAAGACGAAAGAAATGTCTTGCTGCGTTGATGTATCATCCATCCACTCCTCGCGATCCATAGCGTTCAATGTACTTTTTTCCCGTCTCCTCTGGCGTTGTCTATCTTCAACCTGCAAGATGGCGATCGATTTTCACTTCTCAACGACATTCTCAAAAAAGTACGATTGTATCTCATTGACCCGCATCTTCACCGTAACGAGTAGCATCAAAAAGAATATCGCAAAACTCCCTGAGTTGAAAGCTTCCGATAGCATCTGAACGAGGCTCTTACTATATGTATATTTTATATTTTTTGATAAGATAGCATAGCTGACATTGCTATTGGGGAACTATTTTTCGCGCGATTTTACCACAATTTGAAAAAGCTTTACTCGCAACAGATAGCAACTGAATGGTACTTCATCATCTGATGTCGTATTCCGGATTTCATCATATTTAACGCTGCATTCTCTTCAAAAGCACAAAGTCTCGTAGAAGCGTTGTTGATTTCGTGCCCACTGTATGCAAAAATCAACAATAGGTACTCGCTCATCTTCTTTTTGCATTACTTAGAACAGATGACTTGAGCATAGAGCTGTTTGCAAGTTTGTCCCACCAAGGCAAAGCACGGATATTACTTGTTTCGACTTCATACCTTGTCTTTTTCTTCAGCCTCTATCAAACCGCCTTCACCTCGAGCATGTTGACACATATCTTGTTGCTACAAAACTTTTTTCCTCTTTACAGCTCTGTGCACCAATTTCGAACACGTTTCATCTTCATTCTCCTTTCTCCACAACTAAACATTGGAAGCTCGTGGTGATAAAGAAAAATTGAGCTAATCAGGCCTGGAATTTTCCCGTGAATGAGAAGTTTTGTCGATCGCTTCAAGACTGGTGTTTCCACTGCTGTGGAATTCAGCAGAGTGCAATGCGAAATCCGGACTTTTTATTCTCAGAACCAACCAGCTATGTGATCTCTTCTGTTTGACCACTGATTGAATGTCTCAGCTGCAACATAAGTGTTTAAAGCGAATTCATGTTGCAAAAGCATTAATATCTTTGCTTCACTGTCCTCAGTGTTTTCTCATCTTCTTATGTTTTCTCGAGCCTCCTGCGCTAAAAAAGACATATGCACATGTTTCTCAGCTTAACTTTTCATGCCTCAATAGATAATCTTTGTGGCATTCTTTACTTTACGAATCACATCCTCATGCTAGCGTAGATGGACGTAAAGCGTTTTAAGAACAAAAGTTCCTCCACTACGCATATGGCATTGAGCCTTGGTGATTATTCTGGAAATGAGTTCATAGTTTCATAGTTTTTTAGGAGTTTGGGAGGAGAGGTTAATTGTAAATAAGGCAGAATCATAAATCTCGTATTCGGCACGAGTTTACCTAAAACTCTCATGAACAAAATCAACTCAAACAGCATTGATGTTTAACGTAATTCTTTCATTGGCACGTTGACGACGAACTATTCTCTCATGTCTTCACGTAGTTCAAGATGAATTTAGCGCTTTGGAAAGGAACAGGAATGGAAAAAGTTCAAGCGCTGAATCGTTACAATCGTTTTCTTCACAAAATTATTTATAGCTTGTATCAACACGTGACCACCGAACCATTTTCGGCTAATCTCCCATGTTTTTCGCGCATTTGGCGCTTGCATACGTACGCAAGCACGAAAATGCTTAACAGAAATTAGGGCGTACATGCGTGCATACGCATGAGATCGTCAACGTGTTAAGGACGTCACTACTTAGACGAGCAGAAGCGCATTTACTTCCATTACAAACCCAAACTCAGTGTGCGTTTCCGCTTATTGTAGTGTGCTTGCTTGCACAGAAGGTTAAATGCGGTAAAATTTGCCCGTCAACAATAGCTTCACCTGTGACGCTGGCCAGTTGCGCGCGCAAAATGCCGCACGCGCAAATTTAACCGCACTTTAACTTCTGAGTAAGCACACTATATTAAGCGGAAAATCTACTCGACTGTACGTAGAGATGGATAAGTACCAACTCGTCCCTTCTACATTCCCCACTAACTACCGACTTTGAAAGGGGCAAAAGTGACCAATTTCTGAGAAAACAAGTGACCTACCACCATCAATAACACCTACCTTGATGCATAGCGGAGTGGCTGCATCAGCCATGTCAAGCCGAGGAGGTTGCGCTGGTTGTGCTCGAAGTGGATAGCCAAAAGGCGGTTTCGCGCAGTGCCCTAAGAAAATGCAGTTTCCATACACAAAATGCCAAGATTTTCAAAGCAATACGTACCTCGAGAAGTATAACCTGGATCAAGCACCCGGTCTTTGTTGCTGTGAGGTATGAGGTGGCTGTATGAGGTGGCTGCCTTCTTAAATGGCCACTGTAGTGTAGGATGACATCCTGGCTGCATTGGAGCACAGGCGCCCGGCCACGGTTGGCCGTAGCGATCGGGAACATCGACTTGCTGTGGATAGCTGGAAAAGAAGGAAATCGAAGGAAGAAGGCTTATCCCGGATGATCAAGATAACTGACCTTTTCGTGACCATATATGCAAGAGATGAAAGTTATCGGCGAACAGTGACAAACTGACATGTGGTAGAGGTAATTTTGTAATCAATTCATTTAACTGCTCATCTCTTTCTAGAACCGAAATCTTCATCGTCTGCGGATTGCGGACAGGATGAGAAGTGAAAAAACTTACTAGTTTCCGACTCAGGTCTAAATCTTCATGCAAGGATTTCACCAAAAACCGTTAAAGCAAGCATAGTAAAATGAGGTGATTATATGCTAACCTGCAGTATCTCTACAGTTACCTTCCAGTTTCTCTGACGGTGAAGTGTGCTTTTTGCGAGACCGCTTGAGTAAAGATGGACAATTTCCTGACGAACAGAGTTCAGCCTGAATTAATGAAAAAGTTTTTCTAATGCAACAAAAACAGCATGAATAACCTAACAAATCAATCAACTTTTCAAATTCCCTGCTTGCCGCTTTCGCTTTTTTATATTTTCTTTCCTTTTTCTATATTCTTTTCACGTAATTGCGCAATTAGTAGGGCGGCACTCATTTACTTCGAGGCATGCCTGGTTCCTTTGAAATCGAGTAACTCAAAAGCAATGCAAATTGAGCGAAAAGTGGAGCGAAAGAGGAGGCGAGAATTGCCGAGCATATCGAGAAACCCCTAAAAAAACTGAGTTGACAGCTCCTTTAGGAGATGGAGCAGCTTGAGGCAAAGAGACAAAAAGGAAGGCCAGAATGTCAAAATAGGAAACTTGTTTTCCGTCTTCAAAATTTTATAACCTCCTATGGAAAATTATTTATTTATTTATTGAATGCACATGACGTGCGCCAAAAGTAAATGAACAAACAAAATGAAAAATGTAGGCAGTTATCAACTCAAAAACAATCAGCAAGCATTTTAACATCAACTGCATTGTCAGCCTCCTCACTACAACAACTGTTATGCGATGCTAACTCTTTTATCAGATCATTTGACTCCTAGCCACTTAGTGTTGCCTCGTAATGTTCAGTAGTTGGTATGCAGCTCTCATTCACATGGTAAACAGCCGATAAAGAAGAGCAGATACCGAGGCGAATGGGCTAAACCGTGCGTGCCTCAGAGGCATAATTCCTCCTAACACTAGCACTTCCTAGTTCCCATTGCTCATCTTAATGAATCAACTGTAAGAACTATCCAGCACGAATTCACGAAAATGACATTGCTTGTGAGAAAACCAAGGTGTATGGAACTGAACCATGCTTATCTAGGTACTGAGTTCCCTCTAATTTTCTCTCTGTGATACCTCAGTGGTAATTGGCAACGGGAAGATACTGTAGCTAGGATCGAAACACAATACAAAGAGTGAGTATGCTTAAACAGTAAGCTGGAGAGGGAGAGGCATGTGAGTTGATGTTAGTATCAGTATCGGTATAGAATTAACATGAATGATACTCATCGCTGTAGAGAAGAGCCCGTCGATCAAGCTGAAATAAAAAACTCTTAGGAAGAAACTTTCATTATAAATTCAAATATACTACAAATCAACTTTCCTGAGCTTGAATTTGAAGCTGGAACTGCAACTGGCACCTAGAACTTCCGAGGGTAGCTGTTGTAACCACCTTGCTCCTCGATGGAACAGGGTGTTGTAAGCTAGCAAAAACTTTCTTCTTTTGAGATGAGTATAATGCAGATTGAAATAATTGGAGCGTGGACTACAAGGCATGAAAACCCAGTATTTGCTTGCAGGGAGTATAAGCTCTTTTCGTAGTATTTTAAAGCAAAAGACGAGATCAAGCTCTTTTCTCCGATGCTCCAAACTATTCATGTTCAATTTTTTGATTCGGTCGACATAGGAAGGCATATTAGTTATAGCTAATTCTCTCCAACATCTTAGATACATTAGACGGGTAAACGTGTGCTGGACTTTCTCTAACCTCCTGACATCTTTTCTCAAGTAAGGGCTCCACACTTGCGAGCAGTATTCTAGATGAGGTAAAACAAAAGCGTTGTATAATCGTTTGAGGATCTGCGGATTTTGAGTATGTATGGATCTGAAGATAGCAAATAGCACATTGTATGCCTTTTTGACTACCATATCTATATGTTGTGAAAATTTGAGAGAAGGATCAAGAATTATCCCTAAGTCTTTGGCTACTTCACATTGAGACAGCGTAAACCCATTGATTTCATAACTGATTCCTGGGTTCCCTCCGATATGCATCACTGAACATTTGCCCAGGTTGATGGGAAGATCCCATTTTTCTGACCAGACCAGTAGTCTTTCAATGGAAACTTGCAGCGCTCTATGTATTTCATCACAATTTGAAGAATCGTAAATTCCATAAATTTTTACGTCGTCGGCATACATCTGTACCTTGATAGAGGTTGAGGTTACCAGAACCGATGGCAAATCCGACGTATACATCAGAAAGAGCAACGGCGAAAGTGCACCCCCTTGCGGGACTCCACTCTGACAGTGTTTTCTTTCTGAATAGTTTAGTCCTACTTTGACAGTCATGTGTCTTCCACTCAAATATGCTTTAAGCCAGGCAAGCACATTTCCGGATATCCCAAAATTTCTAAGCTTGAACAAAAGCTTCTCATGACACACCTTATCAAATGCTTTTGAGAAGTCAATAAAAATAACATCAACAATCTGATTCTTGTTGAGTGCCATGGTCCAATCAAAAAGGGTATCAGCTAGATTAGTAGCAGTACTAGCTCCTTCAAGAAAGCCGTGTTGCTCTATGGGGATTATGCCTGATTTCAAAAGCCATGATGTGAGCACATCGCACAAAATCTTCTCCATAACCTTGACCGAGGAAGGAGTGATGCTTATCGGGCGGAACTCTGATATTAGATGAGCAGAAGAAACTTTCGGTATTGGTGTGATCAACGACTCTTTCCACACTCTAGGTATCTCACCGGAGAGCATGGATATGTTGAAGATGTGCGCCAAAGGCTTACACAAGGCTTCAGCACATTCTCTATACACTATCTGGGGTATACCATCATAAGGTTCAGCCAATGTTGGCTTTAATCTTTTCAAAACTTTCCTTATTTCTGAAGGCTCAAAATATGCATTACATAGGAGGCGATTAGATGGAGGTATAGTGACCAATTCGCCACCGAAGGTTACGGTATCAATAGCTGTGAAAACACTAGCGAAGTAATCAGCAAGTGCATTAGCTTTGTCGGCATCAGCACTGTAACTATTACCAGCTGTGTCTTTCAGGACTGGTAGTCGGCTATATGTTTTTAGCTTTCTGCTTACATACTGATATAGATGCTTTGAAGAAAGTTTAGAAGCAAGCCTTCGCTCGTGGTATGCCAGAAATCTCTTCAAATGAAAATCAATATCGTCACATATCTTCCTGTACAAGTCACTTTCATGTGGATTTTTGAGGCAGAAAAAAAGACGGTGCTTTTGCTCCAACAAATTTTTTATGTGTTGAGGGTATTTCGTTCTAAAAGGGTGATGAGTTCGAAAAGGCACAAAAGCTTTGAACGCTTCATAGATAGTCGTGCAAAATCTTTCGTACACATCGTCAACTGAAGAGTAGTCGTTGAACACACCAAGCCAATCAATAGTCAAAAGATAGTTATTAAGAGATTCGAAGTCGGTGCGAAGATAATCAGGAGTAGGAGGAAGATTAGGGGAGCAGTAATCTTCATTTAAAACAAAGCTGACTATGGAGTGGTCAGAGTTAGCGAGAGGAGCACAGATTTGTAGGTTTGACACAATTGGAGATGAGGATAGGACAAGATCTAGAGTGTTTGAGGCATGTGTCGGATAATTTACGCGCTGTTCTAGACCCAACTCAGCGAAAAAGTTTAAAAATTTTGCAGCTTTGGTATCGAGAGGATTCGTGTAACCCCAATCAACATGAAGATTGAAATCACCAACCACTATCACGTTAGTGTCATTACTTGAAAGATCGCTGATCAAATCAACAAGGTTGTCGTCATCAACTGTCTGGCAATTAGGAGGCCGGTAAACGAGTATAATCCTTGTCTTCGAATGCCCCTATGCGAAATCAAATCAACACACAAAATACTTGCTTTGGTGGTACATACAGCTTCTACCTTCTGAACCAATAGCAATGAATTAGCTAGAAGACAGACTCCGCCCCCTCGGGTAGTTCGGTCTGAGCGAAAAATGGTATATGGAAAACCGCCCACAATTTCACTATCAAGAATTCTTGATGTGAACCAAGTTTCAGTAACAAAAACTAAATCAGGCTTACATTGAGACAAAAAAGCATGAAATTGATGGATCTTATTTACTAAACTTCTAGCATTCAAGAGATAGGCTTTCAGTTCAACCCGGGTACCATGCGGGCTCAATAGTTTCCCGACCTCCTCTTTGTCAGCTTAGAAACCCTTACCAACTGTCCGCGGTACACTACCCATTCCTTTTCCTTTTTTCCTTGATTTCGTTCTCGAGCAGTCTGCCTGAGATCGTATTCTAGCTTCCGCTCCTCTTCGGTCATGCTTTTGCGGACAAAAATGCCCGCCAATCCTGCTCGCCGAAGCAGGTGAGCATTGGCAAGGGCCACTCTCCAGTAGAATGTGGAGGGGAGCACCAACTTTATTAGTCTTGGGCGCGTTGGGCTGGGCTTCCCCATCCAAAACACTTCACTGGGTGGGCAATCAATATATAAGGCCTCCAGTATGGTATCCACCTTATCCTGTAGATATTTCCGTCTTGCCAATGCTCCTAGACCCTCGGGCGGTTCGTCTACACCGCTTATGACAAGACTTCTTGCTCTTTTTTCTTCTTCCACCGCCGCTGAAAAGTCCTTGGGAATCTTATCAGCTAAAGCTCGCAGCATCTCACTCATCACTGGATCTCTGCTTCTTTCCAACATGGAAGTGATGAGCTCCTGTGCTGTCATCCTACTGTAATCAGTAGCTGCGGTGTCACCCTCACGTTCAATCTCTTCATTTCCTCCCACTGATCGTTGAGATTGAGATCCTGCAGTCTTTCCCTTAATTCTGGAAGCACGAGTGGTCTTGGCTGGCATTTGATCTATTTTGATCTACCTC